ACCAAGTGGGGAAGGACTTCCAGCATACTGATGTCTTGTTTAGAATCCAAAAGAGATTAGACCTGACTTAAATAGATTAGAAAAGTTCTAAAATTAATTGTTTTAATAAATTTAATGTTCTAGATAAATGAGAAACTTTCTATGAAACCAGGTTTCATAAAATTAGCATGTTGGAGTTGCCAGCATTATAAGTTCTCATGAACACATTAGACTAATAACTGCCCAAAACAACAGACAGGTAACACTGATCCTCCCATCCAGTGGCAAAAAAGGCTCATAAACTCTTTTTAATGTATGTAATTTGTTTTAGTTTCAATCATGGGTTTATGAATGCATGAATGGAATAAAGATGCTGAGTTCCTCTTCTTGGTGCCAGCAGAATCCTTGCAGGCTTTATAGAGTTCTGCTAAACATAATAAACATCTTTAACTTTTCCAACATCAGTCCTTCAGGCACAAATGGTTCATTAGTATACTAGCATTTACCTTCATCAGATATCTATGGAGCCTGCCTCAGTCTCACAGCAGGGCCCTTGCATTTCTTCTACCCTGCCAGGATTTCAATCTGTTAGAGGCTAACAAAACTGATTTATTTTTATTCTGAGTTTCAGGCTTCTATCTTACTGGCTTCTCTAGCTTACTGTTCCAATTTATAGATTAATTTTCTGCTTCTAAACACACAAGCAAGAGTATGGTAGATACACTGGACTAAAATTTACAGGTACATGTGATGTCAAACATTGGCTTTGATTTGTCCACAACAGATGGATTTACTAGTTTCATTTGCACAGACAAGATTTGCAACAGTACCTCGCCCTGCCCATAATTTCTATATTCCTACTTTTGTAAGTTTGATTTAGTGTTACAGCTGAATGTCTTCTTGCCTTTCTTTTTTAAATACATCAACTCTTTGACTACACACTGAAGTCAAATATTCCCAACTAATGTTGTCTCACATACATAATATGATACTTTTCTGGTATACAAACCCTAAATTTTGCATTCTCTTAGTCTTACAGGATTTGGTCTTATCCAATTTACACCTGCCCTTCAAGGATTTGTATTTCTTTTATTTCCCAATACAGACTTGATGTTATCTCTAATTTGATCTTGGATGATGTTGGATCTTTTCTCAACAGCTGCAGAATACATCTACAGTCGTTACAGTTCAGAGCTATCTCTTATAGATAAGACATTGAATTCTTTAGCTCTGTGATTTGACTGGACTCAGAAGTGTTTCAATAACTACTAATATTAAGCTCTAGTGTGATTTCTTGAAACAAAAAGCATTCCTTAGAGAGAAAATCCCTTTTATATGTGTAAAACCAGAATGAAGTGGTTTTCAGATATTTGGTGCAGCTGTGGGAATTACAGAAGCAAAAATGGAGACAATGAATCATCTGGCTGTAATCCATGATGTAACCAGTTTCAGACAAACATTTTAAACCCGCTCTTTTTCTATTTATTTCTGGTTTTCTTCCAAACAATACAGTTTGTCCCAGACTTACAGATCTTGTTTTAAAGGGTTCCCTATCAGAGACCTGCACCTGTATTGGGAAGTCACCCTGCAATGAAATTTTGTGGGAGTATTACTGCTCTGGTTTGGCAGGTGTTACAGCAGGAACAAAAGTTATATGGAACTAATTGTAGCAAGAAGAAATGAGATAAATGAAGGAAAGGAAGGGAAGCAAAAAAAAGCAAAAAAGGAAGGGAGGGAAGGATGGGAAAGAAGGGAAGGAAGGAAAGGGAGGAAAAGGGGAGGAAGGAAGGAAGGAAGGAAGGAAGGAAGGGAAATAGAAAGACATGATCCTCTGACAGTATAGGGTTGCTGTTATGAAATATCCTGCCAATGACACTGCCATTTAGATTTCTCAAGATACTCGTTAATATATCATACCATGACATCTTAAAAGACATCATTATAGTTTATCACATTGTGATTTGTAGAAAAATAGTATGTGACAACCATTAAAATGGAGACCATCATGACCTTAGTGTCAATGGGAAAATCACACACCTTTCATGTGTATATTCTCTGGCATAAACAAAATTTAAGGACAGAATTAAATAGGGAAATATAAATGGGTAAGTGGTTCTAATACATAAACCTGCATTCAGATTTGAATTTTTTAATAACACCCTTCTTTCTTAGAAGACACTTTCACCTGTGAGTGTGTGTTTGTGTGTTCTCAAACATCTGGGATAGACAGCAAAATGGATCACTGAAGTCTGGGTTAAACCAGAGCTATTGGATCACTGAACTTGTGCCATTCCCCTGTCAAGATATTTACCCATCTATTTGTCAGATTACATCCCTTTCTGTATCCAAGTCACTTGGAAATTCTCCTTAGTCTTATTTCATATTCATTGTCTTGCAACACCAAGGTTTTCTAAGGCTAATTTGACAAATAACTGGCTTTAGTACTGCCTTCTTCCAGCTTTTCCTCCTTCAGAAGACTCCTGTGTGTGGAACCAGCTATAACATGTGCTGGTGCTCCCGAAGACTGTAACAAATGTGGATAGAGCCTTCCCAAATCTTCGTTTGCGAAGCCTAGCCATGATGATGATGATGCTCCTGAAGAGGTGCCCCCCTAACATGCATCCACTGGATGCATTTGGGAATAAATTAATTATTAATTTATCATTTTATTTTTATAATAGTCTATAAAAATTAAGCATTCTGTGGGCTTCTGACACCTGTAGTTTCACTGTGTCCTACTCTGAGTTCTATGGAGGGAAACACGAAATTTTTTTCATAAACGACATGTCACAAGGCTGAGACAGACACTTTAATGAGCATTGACTGCCTTTAGTTTGTGTTTTCTGGACCACTAAACTGGCTTTAGTACCAACTCTTAGGGAATAATTTGTTACACCTAAGTTTTGTCATAGGAGTAGATTCACTGCCTTTGTTTGACATGTTTCATAATCTTTAAAAAATGTTTGTCTTAAGGAGCCCCAATAGGACCAAAAAAGTATAAGTGTCTGATTGAGATATGCTCTTGAGCCAGCCAATAAAACTGCCATGGAAACCTATGGACTATTTTACTGGTCAGCTAAAACAAGGCTTTTATTTTTGAGAAGTATGTGTGTACCTGTTTTGATACAAGTTTCTCTGGTGCAAGCAAAGTTATCCCCTCTTTTTTTACCTTTCACCTTTTTAGATAGTGATGTTAGTGTTTCTATAAGAAGATGCCAAAGAAGATGTTGCAAGAAGACAGAATGAAAAGCATGAGTTCAGACGCTGACGGATGTGGGTAAAGCCTGTGGTGACAGATAAACAAATGAGGAGTTCCAGGAAGGAACAGAATGAAAGAGCTTTTTGAAAAACAAGCAAAGGGTGTGTGCATTCTGCGCATGATTTGCAGTTCCTTACTTCATTCTATTCATTTCTATACTTTCTGTTTCTTCTATGGAAAAGTACTCTGAATCCATTCCCTCTGACAATGACCTTTATAAAAACTTTCATGCAAAATTATCCTTTATTATTGTTAAATTCCATTAGATACTTTTCAATTACTTCCCAATCATTAACTATCTGAATCCAAACAATCTACATGGTAAAATGTAAATGGGGATTTTTTCAGCCTGCAGACTGCTTCTAAGGGGCCCAGAAAACTAAATAAAAAAAGACATGCTTGCTGCCAAAGGGTTCACACTTGTCATACAGCATCCTGCACTTGAAAATATGCTGAATAATATATAACAAACAAAAAAAATTAATATGCCGAATAAAAAAAAATAAAATTATTGATGAAAATTATATCACAAGAAGCAATAGTCTTTTTACATTATATGGGGCATATCCTTTATACTTATTATTTCAGGGGTTTTTTTAAGTGCCAGTAGCTGTACTTGGCATTGTACAATATTCATACAGCCTCTAGAGAAAAGAACATGCATTGACAAGGAGACAGTGGCAAAATAGACGTTGTGCCTTGAGAAGCACAAAGGAAGTTATAAGTAGGAGGGCTGACTTTTTTCCTCTTCTTTTATCTTTTCTGGACATCATCATAAATGAGGCCTTCATTTTGAAGATTTACAATAGGGCATTTTAGAAAAGATCGCTTCACAGTTGTGACACCGTAAAAGCGAGTCACCAAGTTATGGGTCTAGCAAAAAACCTGTGGCTGGATTTGCACTGCTCGGCGTTCGCACTGCTAATTGTCATCTCCACAAACACACAGCTGCAGTGCACGGCTGCCTCCACTAGAGGGGCCAGTTGTTCCTGCGTGATGAATCCATATCCAGAGCCCCGGTGAGTGGATCGCCTCCTAACACTGCCGGGGTAGGTGCTTCTGTTTTCCTATCTCTAGCAAACAAATAAGCAAGCAAATTATTTGCCTTTGTAACAAATGAACAAACAGCTCCTGGACTTCCGTGCACTACTTGTTTTACAAAGCCCTAGGAAGGTTCCAAGTCTGGTGGCTTATGTTGCCATTTGGCAGTGGTAACTACACCTTGACCTCAGGTTATGCTCTAAGCTTAGAGTCTCCTCCACCTTTGGAGCTGAATTACTTATTTTGGGGTATATTGCAAGATCTGCTGGAAGAACTGTGATATTAAAGACAGGATTTGGAGGATGCCGCTTAAAATGGCTTTACCTGGTTCTAGAAGTATCCCTGCGAAAACCAAGGTGGTACCAGTGAGTGCAGCCTGGCTGAACATCTGCACGTGCAATAGCTACCCAGGATACCACGGTCAGAAAACACTTGTGATCACTTTTAACTTACAGGATTTTAAGTGGTGCTATTTGCCTTGAGAAAGCTGTCAAACAACCCTTAGTTTATAATTATAGCTTTGCTTTTAGAAGCAGTCAGTTGTAAAGCAGCCTCGTAGACAGAGACATGCTAACATTGTATTTGGGAAAGATCTGGGATATGGCCCAGACTTCCTCTATTTGTTCCCTGTGCTTTTCCCAATCTGTTCTTAACTGGGCACCTGCTGCAGCAAATGAGAAAGCATCGGGGGAAGAGGAAATGGAAACATTGCAGTACAAAGTATGGTTAATAATATTTATTAATGCATGCAGAGAACTATTAAATTAAAAAAATTAATGGAGGTCAAAAGCCAGCTTCTAATTCTCTTCAGGCAAAAGAAAGAATTTATTAAAAAGCAGAAGAGGTATCCACAGAGAAACTTTCCCCATTCACTTAATGCACATGAAATATAGACATCATCTTGACATTCAGTTGCTGAAAGAGAGAAAAAGAAACTGAAATTAACAATCAGACAGTTAACAGTAGCCATATTATGGGAGGGGGAACAAAATCTCAGCACACTGTGTTCCTAAGAAATCTTTTTACAGAACCAGCTTTTCATCATACCATATCTTCAGTACAGATAATCTTGGCAGGGCATTATTTTGCACACTGCAGCTAGCTGAAAATCTGAAGACAGGATATCCAGCTCTTCTGACTGTATGGATCTGACACAAAAAATTGGAACATAGAGGAAAAGAGTCAGAAGCATGCATCAAACATGCCTTTTGTTACTGGAGGCATTGTTTTCTGCTGACAAAAATATTTGTTTAAATTTTCACATCAAGACAAGATCCAGGTGTAGTTGATCAAATAACCTAAAGCTGCCTGATAACTAAAATAAATTCCCAGAAAGCACCTCAAGTATTTTTTAATTTTCTGTGTGCTGGAAACATGATTCTCAGTATGGTTCAGCTGCGCAACCTGTGAGAGGACAGAAAAGGGAAGATGATTGAACCAGTTGCTACATTTTACAGAGAGAGTTTGAAGGGGAAAAAACAATAAATATGTTTTAAAAATGTCACTGTTCTACTGCCACTGAAGCCAGTTACAAACCTCCATAGTTTTTTCACAGAGATATGCATAAAGGCTGGGCACTGCTTGGATCTTGCATGAACTTTTGAAATAAGAGATTTGTAGAGGCTTTGGACAGGCCCCTCTGCACAGAGGTGAATTTCAGGCAATAAATCAGGACAGTTGTCTCAAACAGAGGATTTTAATTTTTTTTTTTACATGTAGCCTTCCTGGATTAAATTCTTTGTTCTTCACCAGTCTTGTTAAAATCTGACATTATTTCCCCTGGTATTAACCCCCAATTTATCATTTACTCAAGACTGCACAAGGTTTCATCCTGGGAATAGGCTTTTTTCCTTTATCCATTTCCTTAAAAACATAATTATCGTTTTGTAGGAGTTTGCTGTGATCAGAGGTGTTCCTGCCTTCGTGAACACACAGGAAGATGAGGATCTTACATTCTAATTATAATTACAAACAATTAAATGTGAGACCTGAGACTAGGAGCAGACCTTTAAGAGGAAAGAAACAACTGCCAAGAAATAGAAGGAATTGCAAGGAGCGCTCCAAGTTCAGTCATGTATAAAATTTACAACATGACTGAAGGGCAAGTCTATCATTTTCACTTTCTTCTTTGGCTTGTATTATTTAAAAAGATATGTTTTAAATCCAAAAGGATAAGGTCTGCATTCATTGCCTTACAACATCCTTAGTAGGACCTTTTGTCTTGAGCTCAGCACTGTGCTAGCACAGGTACACAGCTCCTGCTCTGGAGCTGGCTTCTGCCTTGGCACTTTAGAGTGCAGGAGGAATATTCCACTACGTAGGCGTCTCGTGTAGGTGAAAGAATTTCTCCCCATCTTTTCAGTCTCTCTGAATAACCTCACCCAAAAACACTGAACTGAAGGCTATTATCTAGCTAATCAGCAAACAAAAGTTTTTCCACAAAAATTATCTGAAGAGGTATTCATAACAGGCTCCCTGCAAATATTCTAATCCAATCTGTTGTGTAAATATTACAGCTGGGGCTGAGAGAGAACGCATGTGCACTGTAAGCAACGATAAAGCCGGAGTGCCAGACTGGATGTGTATGGCTGTACACACAATGGAAGCCTTGGACAAGGGCAGTGGGAAACTGCTGGTGTCACCAGTGATGTCACGGGTGTTTTAGGGCACAAGGAAGTGATCTGAAATCATGCCTCTATGGCATTTGTTAGAAAAACAGTAACTCTTGGGGCTTTTCTGCTTCTGCAGCATTGTGCATCACAAAACCTCTAGATTATACATAATTTTTATATATCCAGTGCTATTTCACAAATGAGACATTTTTGCACTCCCATGGTTTATCAACATCTGAAAGTGTAACATCAGATTAACCACCCCAGCCAAGCTGGTTTTATTTTATGTCTCTTTTCCAACCTCTGATAATGGCATGTGTCACAGTGAGATTAATACCACACATCCAAACAATACAATTCATTAGTATTTTGTGAATATTTTGCTTGGCTTTTGTGTGGTTTCAGTAAGCAATGGCAAACTCCTACAACCTGCTTTCCAGATAGACCCTCTGGCAAGGAAAAAAATGGCCCAGGAACAAGAAGTCAGGCAGCAAAAAACTATAGTAGAGGAATGTACTTTGTAAAGGGACCACTTTTGTCCTGTGTCCCAGTTAAGACATACTCTTCCTTGCTGCAGTCCAGAGACAGGATGTTTCTTTTCCAAGACACAAAATATTAAGTGTATCTGACTTTTTGCATATGGCATTGAGAGCAAGAGGGATACTTGTGTTTTGCTGCCAGTGATACAAAAAAATACACAGAGAAAGGAGAGACCAAATGGGTCACCCCAGGGCCTGATGGTGCTGTTGACTTCAGGAGTCACAGTTATTTCAATAGGCCCCTGTACACAAGAGTTAGTGCCAAAATCAGAATGCACATTCGAGCTTTGGAACCTATGAGAATATGAAACCTGAGTTTCATTTCTGAGGGATGCAAGGATTGTCCCTGGTTTGGACAATGTACAGAGAAGAGAAAGACAGAGTAAAACATAGTTCCAAACTAATTATATCTGCATGTGCATTGATTTTGCATGTGTATGAACGTGTGTGCAAGCTTTCACGTTAAACTGCAGACTATGAAACCATCCCATTTCATTACACTGGAACATTATTTTAAAACACTGTCTTACTCTGGTTTTGAATTGTATAACTCTATCATCCAAATAAAGCAAGGAATTCATTAAAGAAAGCATAAATGTAAGGAGGAAACATATTTAGTCATCTAACCCAAGATCTGCGAATACAGTACTGGTGACGGTGTTAGTCTTACTCATTCTTTCCCTCCTACTTGGTTGTGTGTTTTCCATTACTCCAAAGGAGGAGACATGTGGGATGCTGTGTCTGGCCTCAGAGCTGTTACCACAGTTCCTTGCCTTCTGCATCAGCTTTTGCACCCTCTCAGCTGGGGGGTTTGTTTCTTTGACAGGCCCCCAGCAAGATCACAGAACTGCTTAGTATGGGAACAGCCCTATAGATCAGTGCTGCACCTAAACAGGGGATGGATTACTCTGGTGCAAAGCAGCTTGTGATAAAACGTTGGATCCATTTCAAATGTTTTAATGTACAAATATATTGACAAGTCACAAAAACAAACCCAACCAAAACTATAGTTTGGGGTATTTGCTTTATATTTCAGTTTTACCAAATATTAAAATACTGTAGCCTAGCTGCAGAGTGGAAGGTTTTGTTGCTGTTTGCTTTGGATTTTTTTTTTTTATGTAGACTTTCTTATATCTTTGTCTTTTCTCCCCATGCTAAGCCTGCATTCTCAATAAGAAAAATGTAAATCACATAATTTTAAAAATACTTTTCATCATAATGTTGTCGTGGTTTAATCCCAGCTGGCAACTAAGCCCCACACAGCATCTCACTTACTCCCCCTGGTGGGATGGGGGACAGAATCAAAAGAGTAAAAGCAGCCCTTGGTCATGGGAGAGGTCACATTAACAGCCTTCCTCAAGGTTTTAAACACCTCTAACAAACCTTGGCACACCCCAATCTGCCCCTGGTGACCTTTTTTTTTCTAGTCTGTCTAATCCTGCCAGACTGGGAAGAGTTTCCCATTCAGAGTAAAAAGTCCTTACATTTTGACTTTTAATTCTCTACATCCCCAATAGTTTCTCATTTTATGTTGTCTATAAAGTTTTGTAATCTTATGTTCTATAAAAGCATGTTTATCATCTAATGATTATCTGATGGAGTGTGTCCAAAGAAGGGCAAGGAAGCTGGTGAAGGATCTGGAGCAAAAGCCTTATGAGAAGGTTGTAGACAGGTGGAGGTCAGTCTGTTCTCCCAGGTAACAAGCAGTAAGACAAGCTGAATTGGTCTCAAGTTACGCCAGGGGAGGTTTAGATTGGATATTAGGAAAATTTTTGACACCGAAAGGGCTATCGAGCGTTGAACAGGCTGCCCAGGGAAGTGGTGGAGTCACTGTCCATGGAAGTATTTAAAAGATGTGTTGATGGAGCTCTTAGGGGCATGGTTTAGTGGTTGACTTGGCAGTGCTGGGTTAACGGTTAGACTCGATGATCTTAAAACTCATCTCCAACCTACATGATTCTGCGAACGTATGATTCTAATATGTACAAAGAATTCCAGCATTTTTTAATTATTTCCAAGTTAAGTATTCTTCCCTGGCTTTCTTTGGTATAGACATTTATGTAACCTGCCCTCACTTTTTGACTTTATGTACTTCTTCATAATTAACCCACTCTCTCTGAACCAACTACCCATAGACATACACGCAAACACACATCCTTACCTTCAATCATTTCTTCGTGTCTTCAGTTCCTAGATAGTTTGTTTTACTTGTTTTTTTCCCCATCAGGTAGTGGTAAATGAATGTTATTAATATCAGGTCAAATATCTTCTTCTCTCTAAATTGGATTGCCTATGACAATAGGCTCATGGAAATTTCATCTATTTAATTTCTTTTTCATGGTAGAGTCCTTTATTGCATTAGTACCTCTCCATATACAGGGAATGAGTTACAGGTTAATTAGATACTTTTGTTGTGACAGTTTAGTTGTCTACATCTGGATTTTGGCATTGCCTAATGAGTTGTATGAATTTCCTTCTTTTGTTCTCCAGGATTAGACTTGTACATTTTTCATGTATGTCAATTTGCTTTTTATGAACTTGGCAGATAGGCAACCCCAGAGAAGGGAAATAAAGTGATTTTGTGATATTCTTTAGACATCTTTGCAAAAATGGTTGCCTACCATTAATTGCCAGCTCTGCAACCTACTACTTACATAAATGGCCTAATTTTAAAATAGTAATTATTATTGTTGGATATCTAACATCTCCCACTAAGTGAAATGAACTTGAATTCTCAGATCAAACAGAATTACATAAAAACTCC